CTAGATTTGAGTGGATAGTACGTCTATTCAAATGTTACTATCTATGATTTTCTCTGTTCTAAACAAATATTGAGTTTTAGCATTTTTTTGTTTTCTTTTGTAAAATTATCATATTGAATGGCAGCGGATATAACATAGATTTGATCCACTTTTACTAATACAAGTGACAATTAATAAATTTGTTAGAGAGAGATGAGAAGTAAACCGATGAAATCGATGATGAGACGTCCATCGGAACAACGGCCGGTGGAACGGTTAAAGAAGGTTTCACCATATGGAGGATTTCCGATGTTCGGAGAGTCGACATCGCCGGAGATAAGAAAATTTCCGGTGTCGCTTAAAGAATCGCCAAAATTAAATATTCTCTCGTAATGCAGAGTTGGTTTTACCGGTAATGACCGAACGGAGACCAAAAAAGAGAATGCCACAATGAACAACATAAGAATTTTCATTTTATGGTATTTTTCTTTTCTTTCAAATTTAGTTTAATATATATTCGAGAAAGATTTTCTACTGAAATTTATAAGATGGGATCAGTACTATCTAACAAACGGTGGTGAGTATGGAGTAAATACTTAAGTCAGTTTTTTTTCTCAAACGTTGAGACTGTTATAACATTTTTGATTCAATTCAACCAAAGCGTTACGACTTACGAATAACAACAAATTACTGATGGTTATCGACTATTTTAACTTTTTATTTACTGATTTAAATTGTTAGTATACGTTTTTCACCTGTTTATTTAAAGATTCATTAAATAATAATACTTGAAACTGATTGTATTATGGGGTTGTATTATTTGAGAGTGGGCAATAAGAAAAATCTACACGTTACTGCAAGATAGTAAATCACCTAAAAGTAATTAATAACGATATCCTGTATATTTTGGAGAAAAGCTTTAATATCATGTATTTTTTAGTAACATTCCTGTTTCTATGCTTAAGATTTTTGTACATATAACTTACAAAATTTATCTCAGTTAAATATTTCTCTTTCCAATAATCAAAAATCCATTGACATTTATAAACGTATTAATGCATTTCCATATTGATGAAATAACCTAGAAATCAAGAATAAATATATATATATTACTACAAGAAGCAAACTATAGTCTACAGAGAAATGAATATAAATACACAATCATAATCGTTATTGAAATCAAGAAAAGACATAAAAATTGTTTAAGTAAAAGAGAATGATGAACGAGTCTAAAGGTTTTACCAATTAAACGAGAAAAGTCTAAATTTACGTAAAATTAGGTGTCCTGAAATCGAAGTTTAACGAAATATATAGCTTAAATTAGATTTGTTTGAATGTGTGATAAATCTAGCTTCTTATTTATTTAAGTGCACTTTTTATCTCTTTGTTTAATTTTTGAAAACACCATATCATATCATCTCTACCACTAAGATGAAGAAATCTTTTCAACTCTCCTTCTTTGTTCTAACTATCTTCACCATTCTTCTACTAGGTTTGTATTTACAATTAAAGTTACCTTAATACATTCCATATAATCGGTTTAAGTAAAATTAATATTGTTTAGGCCCATTAGAAAATCTAGTGAATGGACTACTCGACACCTATACGTGATTAGTCGGGTGGTAAATACGTGGATCACCCCCTAGTTATAAAAAGTGATTCTTAATACCGTGC